TGTTGTGCCCCCAGGCTTCTAGTGTGTAACCTATTTATCACTGTCCTTGCCTCCAGCTTCTGTCCAACTGCCTACTCTTATCAGTGCTCCAATTAAAATCTATTTGCTTTAGATGTGTCTCTTACCAATAGCATATATTTAGATTTTGTTTATCCAATATTAAAAAGATATAGAAAGGTTGAAAGAATGGGAAAAGATACTCTATGCAAGTACCAACCAAAAGAAAATTGCTGTAGCAATCATTAGTATCAGACAAAAGAACTAAAGTCCAGGGGCGCCTGGGTGGCTCAGTTGGTTAAGCGACTGCCTTCGGCTTGGGTCATGATCCTGGAGTTCCGGGATCGAGTCCCAGGATCAAGTCCCAGGATCGAGTCCCGCATCAGGCTCCCTGCTGAGCAGGGAGTCTGCTTCTCCCTCTGACCCTCTTCCCTCTTGTGCTCTCTGGCTCTCATTCTCTCTTTCTCAAATAAATAAATAAAAAAAATCTTAAAAAAAAAAAAAGAACTAAAGTCCAGTAGTATTCTTAGAGATAAAGAGGGTCTTGATAGTGATACAAGATTTAATCACCAGGAATAAATAATGATTTTAAATAACACTTACAAATACATAAAGCAAAAATCTTCAGTATTCAAAGAAGAAATAAACAAATCCACAATCATGAGAAATTTTACATACTTGTCTTAGTAATTGGTGGAAAAAAAGCAGACGAAAGTTTAGGAATAATAAAGATTTGAACATTGAGATGAGCAGAATTGACCTAATGGTCATAGAGACATCCCCCTTACCCCCGCCCTGCCGGCAGAAGGGGAAACTGAAGAGACTTTTTTTTTTTTAAAGATTTATTTATTTATTTGAGAGAGAGAGAGAGAGAGTGCGAGTGCATGCAGGGGGAGAGGCAGAGACAGAGGGAGAGAGAGAATCCCAAGTGGACTTCTGGCTAAGAGCGGAGCGCAATGCGGGGCTCCATCCCAGGACCCTGAGATCCTGACTTGAGCCAGAATCAAAAGTCCAGTGCTTAACTGACTGAGCCACCCAGGGTCCCCCTGAAGAGACGATTTTTAACACCTGCAAAATACATCTTATTTTTAAGCACACAAAGAATTTTTTTAACTGACCATAAACTGGGAATAAAGTCTTAGAGCATTTCAAAGGAGTGAAATTAAAGTATATATTCTGGCCACAGTGCAACTTTGTTAGATAACTAGAAAATCCCTATATGTCTAGAAACTTAAAATGAACTACCAAATGACCCATGGACCAAAGAAGAAATTGTCATGGAAATTAAAATAGTTGGAACAGAATGATAAAAATTCTACATATCATAACTTGTGGAATGAAACTAAAGTAGTGCTTTGAGGAAAATTTGTACTCTCAAATGCATATATTAGGGGAAAAGGGTTAAAAGTGAATGATCTAGGCATTTATCTCAAGAAGTTAGGAAAAAACAGCAAAATAAATCCAAAGAAAGTAGAATTGTCAATTATATCTCAATAAAACTGGGGCAAAAAAGAAAGTAGAAGTGAGGAAATAAAGACAAAGGGAGAAATTATTGAAATAGAAAGCAAACATACAAAAAGTTGGCTCTTTGAAATAATTAATTAAAATTGACAAATGTCAGGGTGCCTGGGTGGTTCAGTTGGTTAAGCAGCTGCCTTAGGCTCACGTCATGATCCCAGGGTCCTGGGATCAAGCCCCACAGTGGCTCCCTGCTGGGCAGGGAGTCTGCTTCTCTCTCTCAAATAAATAAATACAATCTTTTAAAAAAAATAAAATAAGGGCACCTGGGTGGCTCAGTTGGTTAAGCGACTGCCTTCAGCTCAGGTCATGATCCTGGAGTCCCGGGATCGAGTCCCGCATGGGGCTCCCCGCTCAGTGGGGGATCTGCTTCTCCCTCTGACCCTCTTCCCTCTCGTGCTCTCTCTCATTCTCTCTCTCTCTAATAAATAAATAAAATCTTAAAAAAATAAAATAAAACTGACAAATCTCTAGCAAGATAGATCAAGGATAGGAAAAAAAGGAGAGAGAGAAGACACAAATAACCAATATAAAAACAAGGAGACAGTACTGCATTTGAATAACTTTATGTCAATACATTTGAAAATGTAGATTAAATAGAAAAATCACTAGACAATGTCACCAAAGATGACTCAAAAAATTTTACAAATTCTCGATAGCATTATATCCTTCAAATAAATGAAATCATTAGTCAGAAATCTTCATTCAAAGAAAACTTCAGGCTTGTATGGCTTTGCTGACAAGTCATACCAAATGTTGAAGGATCAAATAGTTTAAATCTTATGCAAACTTTTTCAGGCATTTAAAAAAAAAAAAGGAGGAAACATTCCCCAACCCAGGAGTCTAGCATGACCTTGATACCAAAAGCCTGACAAAGACAGAACAAGAGAGATTACAGGATGGCCTCACTCATGAAAATGGGGAACAAAAATCCTAAACAAAATATTAGCAGCGGAATGCAGCATTATGTTTAAAAACAAAATGCCCAATTGGCTTATGAAAATGTGTTCACAAGTTAGTAATTATTAGTAACCAGAAGAATTTCAGTTAAGCAATGGAATACCATTACCACATATACCAGGTTAGCTAAAATGAAACAGCCTGACGATACCACACATTGGCGTGAAAACAGAGCAGGAAGAACTCCCATTCACCACTGGTGGAAAAAATGACAACCACTCAAGAAAAAACAGTTTGGCACTGTCTACTAAAGCTTAAGTTACACATAAACTCTATAACCTAGCAATTCCACTCCTCGGTAGATACCATAGAGCAGGGATCCTTAAAGTGTGGTCCTCAGTCCAACAGTATCAGCAACCCCTGGAAACATCTTAGAAATGCCAAATTCCTGAGCTCTTCTCCAAACTTAATCAATCAGCAACTCTAGGGGTAGGGCCCAGCAGTCTGTTTTTACAAACCCTCCGGGTGATTCTGATGTATGTTAAAGCTTAAGAGCCACGGCCATAGAGAAATAGGAATATATATCCACCAAGATACATGGACAAGGATGTTTTTAACGGCATTGTTTATAATACCCAAACATGGAAAACAGGCCAAATGTCCATTAATATCATAATGGATAAATGAGTCATGCAATGACTGATGAATCATTGAACACTACATCTGAAACTAATGATGTAAAATATGTTGGCTAATTGAATTTAAATTTAAAAAAGGAAAAAAAGGTGGGTGGGAGGATGGGGTAACTAGGTGATGGGCATTAAGGAGGGCATGTGATGTGATGAGCCCTGGGTGTTATAATGCAACTGATGAATCATTGAACACTACATCTGAAACTAATGATGTACTATATGTTGGCTAATTGAATTTAAATTAAAAAAAAGTTATGCAATGGTTATACAATGCAATGAAATAAAACTGAATCCCAGCTGTACAAAAGAGTGTGGATGACTCAAACATAATGGTGAGTAAATATTCAAGACACAAAGAATATATATATTTAAGATTTTATTTATTTATTTGACACAGAGAGACACAGCGAGAGAGGGAACACAAGCAGGGGGAGTGGGAGAGGGAGAAGCAGGCTTCCTGCAGAGCAGGGAGCCTGATGCGGGCCTCGATCCCAGGACCCTGGGATCATGACCTGAGCCGAAGGCAGACACTTAACGACTGAGCCACCCAGGTGCCCACAAAGAATATATTTTTATATACATATAGAAAAGAGTGGGGGTGCCTGGGTGGCTCAGTTGCTTAAGCATCTGCCGTTGGCTCAGGTCATGATCCTGGGGTCCTGGGATTGAGTTACATAGCCTTGGCTCCCTGCTCAGTGGGGAGCCTGTTTCCTTCCTTTCCTTCTGCCCCTCCCCCAGTTCGTGCTCGCTCTCTCTCCCTCTCTCAAATAAATAAATAAAATCCTTTAAAAAAAAAAGTGCTTGTCAAACTGTACAAACGTGTTCTAAGGACCAAAACTGTACATCCAGCCCTAACCTTAGAAGTCTAGGCTGGCATATGCTAGCACCTGCCACGTAATGTGTGCTCAACCTGACAAATGTCATTCTTTATAATTATAATCTTTATAGTGACTGCAAAGTATTTCATAATAAGGACATACCATATGTTATTTAACCACTTTCTTGATGATGGGCTTTCTGAGAATATTAGTTTGGCTGCCCCAATAGACTGAAAATTCTATAAGGTAAGAAACCATAACTTTCTTTTTCAAAAACAGTGCCTGCTATACAATAGTTATTTAATTGAATTGATTTTCCAAATTAATGTTCCTACAAGAAAAAAAATACTCTGGCCAGTTTTATTTATCTTTATTATAGCATAAGTTGATTCCTTGTAAATTTTGTTTACAGTGAATTAACCATAGAGAATCCAGTTAACCCTGGGTATAATGACATAATAAATGTTCTAAAAAATGAGACCATGGATTTTGGAGTTGAGTGATCCTTTAAGATCATTTAATTTTCCTATGTGACATCTCTTCTCTGTTTCGATGCTATATGTCAAACTTCGGAGTTAGGAAACCATATATATCACATTTTCTGAGAGTATCTACTTAAGATATGCTAGCTTTCTTAAATGTACTTGACTCTGTATTCTAATTTGTGATTGGGAACATACGACACCATACCTGGACCTCTAGGGAATGACTGGTTCCAGAGAAGATGCTCATAGGGCAAGGCAGGCCACTTGGAAGACTTGCTTCTTTGAAATCTTGCCTCCATACACTCTACTTTATGCCAAGTTGTCCAGCCCAGTCCTAGTAGAGTTGTAAAGGAGGTCTTCCCTGAGCATTGGCTGTCAGGGCAGAGCCCGTGAGCAGCTGCATGAAGGGACAGCAGATGGGCATGTCTCAGAGAGGAGACTCAAGCAGCTCGCACATTGGCTGGGCCCTGTCAGGTTTACCTTGGAATGTCCATTGTGATGTCATATGGAGTCACAACCTTGAGGGAGAACACTGTTTGGCTGAGAGGGGCATGGGGTTGAGTAATGGCACCGATTTGGGGGCTGGCCATCCCGCCTCCATCATATGTCAGCCTCCTACTATTATTTGGTTTCCTTGTTTGGGGGCTTTGGCTGCTCTTTTTTGGGAGACAGAGCAGGGAGCAGGTGGTAGCCAAGACAGACTCAGAGGTATGTGATGCAACCCTCCCTTGAAGTTCACTGGTCCCTGTCCCTGCCTCTGAGGCCATGGAAACTACCTCTTAGGCCAGGGGAGGAGCTGGGTGAGGGAAGAGGGGAGTTGAGATAGTGCCTATGGATGTTGTCCTATAAGTATAAGTCATGCTCAATCCTGTTCCTTTCAGTTTATTTCAACAAACCTTGAGCACCTATTATGTATGGTGGTGTACTAGACCTTGAGGAAAAATAAAACACCATCCCCACCTTCTAGGAGCTCAAGGTGAAATTGGGGAGACAGTCAGATGGATATACACACAACACAAGGAAAGAGAAAATGATAAGAGTTAAAAGAAGTATAAATACTGATGAAGAGTTTGGAGGTAAAGAGTCTTTTGAAGCAGGGGGATCTATAAAATGCCTCTGGGGGGCGCCTGGGTGGCTCAGTTGGTTAAACGACTGCCTTCGGCTCAGGTCATGATCCTGGAGTCCCGGGATCGAGTCCCACATCGGGCTCCCTGCTCAGCAGGGAGTCTGCTTCTCCCTCTGACCCTCTTCCCTCTCGTGCTCTCTAGCTCTCATTCTCTCTCTCAAATAAATAAATAAAATCTTTAAAAAAAAAGTAAAATGCCTCTGGGGAGCTCAGGTTTGAATTGTGCTTCAGAGGAAGGGTAGGGCTTTGAAGGTGGATAGTGTGGATGGAAGAGAGTAAGTGAAGACTTTCCAGATAGAAGGAATGGATTGGGGAAAATCATGGGAAACTGAAGAGTGTTGGATGTGTTTGAAGAGAGGACATCCATGTGGATGGAGTGTAGAAGTATAGGGAGCTCAGTGAGAGAAAAATTTGGAAAATTGACAGAGGTGACATTGTAGAGGGCTTTCAATGCCAGGCTGAATAGTTTGTATAAATATTAATTCTATATGTAGTTGAAAGATGTCAAGGGGTACCTGGGTGGCTCAGTCAGTTAACCCTGTGACTCTTGATTTTGGCTCAGGTCATCATCTCGGAATTTTGAGATCCAGCCCTGTGTCAGGCCCCATGCTCAGCAGGGAGTCTGCTTCTCTCCCTCTACTTCTCCTTCTCCCTCTCTACCTCCCCCTGCTCCCATGCACGTGCTCTCTCTCTAAAATAAATAAATAAATCTTGAAAAAAAAGAAAAGAAAAGATGTCAAAGGTCTTAAAGCCAGGTTAAAATGTGCTTAGATCTGTGCTTTAGAGCAATGCTTCTCAAACTGTTACACCCATATGAATCAGTCAGATGGAGGTCTTGTTAAAAAGTATATTCTGATTCGGTAGGTGTGGGGTAGGGATTGAGATTCCTCCTTTCTAACAAGCTCCCAGGTGATGCTACTGCTGTTGGACCAAAGGCCACACTTGGCTTTTTTTTTTTTTTTTTAAGATTGTATTTATTCATTTGACAGAGAGAGAGCACAAGCAGGGGGAGCAGCAGAGGGAGAGGGAGAAGTAGGCTCCTTGCTGAGCAGGGAGCCTGATGTGGGGCCCGATCCCAGGACCCTGGGGTCATGACCTGAGCTGAAGGCAGCCGCTTAACCGACAGAGCCACCAAATAGGCACCTCTGTTACATTTTTTTTTTTAAGAAAGGAAATTTTTATGTTATTTTATTATTTAAAAATTTTAATTCCAGTATAGTTAACATACGGTGTTATATTAGTTTCAGGTGTATAATATAGTAATTCAACAATTCTATACATTACTCAGTGCTTGTCAAGATAGGTGTGCTCTTAGTCCCCGTCACCTATTTCACCCATCCCCCCACCCACCTCCCCTCTGGTAACCGTCTGTTTGTTCTCTGTAGTTAAGAGTTTTTTGGTTTGTCTCTTTATTTGTCCTTGTTCATTTGTTTTGTTTCTTAAATTCCACATATGAGTGAAATCATATGGAATTTGTCTTTCTCTGACTAGCTTGTTTCGCCTAGCATTACACTCTCTAGATCCATCCATGTTGTTGCAAATGACAAGATTTCACTCATTTTTATGGCTGAATAATATTCCACTATATATATATATATATACCACATCTTCTTTATTTATTCATCTATTGATGGACACTTGGACTGCTTCCATAATTTGGTCATTGTAAATAATGCTGCTATAGGGACACCTGGGTGGCTCAGTCAGTTAAGTGTCCAACTCTTGATCTCAGCTCAGGTCTTGATTCAGGATCTCGAGTTCAAGCCTTGTGTAGGGCTCCCACTTAAAAAAAATGGGCAACAGACATGAACAGACATTTCTGCAAAGAAGATATACAAACACCCAACAGACACATGAAAAGATGCTCAACGTCACTCATTACCAGGGAAATGAAAATCAAAACCACAATGAGCTATCACCTCATACTTGTCAGAATGGCTAAAATCAAAAACACAAGAAACAACAAATGTTGGCAAGGATGTGGAGAAAAAGGAACCCTCATGCACTGGTGGTAGGAATGCAAACTGGTGCAGCTACTCTGGAAAACAGTATGGAGGTTTCTCAAAAAATTAAAAATAGAGGGGCTCCTGGGTGGCTCAGTCAGTTAAGTGTCCAACCCCCCCCCTTTTTTTTAGAGATTTTATTTATTTGACAGAGAGAGACACAGCGAGAGAGGGAATGCAAGCAGGGGGAGTGGGAGAGGGAGAAGCAGGCTTCCTGCAGAGCAGGGAGCCCGATGCGGGGCTTGATCCCAGGACTCTGGGATCTTGACCTGAGCTGAAGGCAGGAGCTTAACGACTGAGCCACCCAGGCGCCCCAAGTGTCCAACTCTTGATTTCAGCTCAGGTCATGATCTCAGGGTTACGAGATCGAGCCCCACGTTGGGCTCCACACTCAGGTCCGAGTCTGCTTGAGATTCTCTCCCTCTCATCTGCACCTCCCCCCACTCATGCTCTCTCTCTAAAATAAATAAAATCTTTTTAAAAATTAAAAATAGAATTATATTATCCAGTAATTGCATTATTGGGTATTTACCCAAAAACTATGAAAACACTAATTCAAAAGGATATATGCACCACTCTGTTTATAGCAGCATTATTTTTTTAAAGATTTTTTTTATTTATTTGAGAGGGAGAGGGAGAAGTAGGCTCCCTGCTGAACAGGGAGCCCGGTGCGGGGCTCGATCCCAGGACCCTGAGATCATGACCTGAGCCAAAGGCAGCAGCTTAACCTACTGAGCCACTCAGTCATCCCAGCTTTGTAGTATACCTTGAAATCTGGATTTGTGATACCTCCAGATGTGTTGGGTTGTTGTTTTTTTTTCCCCAAGATTGCTTTGGCTGTTTGGGGTCTTTTGTGGTTCCATACAAATTTTATGATTGTTCTAGTTCTATGAAAAACGCTCATGATATTTTGAAAGGGATCACATTAAATCTGTAGATTGCTTTGGGTAGTATGGGCATTTTAACAATATTTGTTTTTCCAAGCCAGAAGCATGGAAGTCTTTCCATTTGTGCCATCTTCAGTTTTTTTCATCATTCTTTTGTAGTTTTCTGAGTACAGGTCTTTTACCTCCTTGGTTAAGTTTATTCCTAGGTATTTTATTATTTTTGGTGCAGTTGTAAAGGGGATTGTTTTCTTAATTTCTCTTTCTGCTGCTTTATTATTAGTGTATAGAAATGCAATGAATTCCTGTATATTGATTTTGTGACCCAGGACCACACTTTGAAAGTGAAGCTTTAAAATAACTTCAGTAAGCGTCTATGGCAGTTGTCTGGGTAGCTAAGCCAATTGGAGGCTCTGTTAACAATACAGTGGGAAGGAGGGAAAAGGAAATTAAAAAATTAGAGCAGGATGGTAGGAGAGAGGACATGGGTTCATTCCTCAAATGTTTATCATCCACCACCACCACGGTTATGTACAAGGCACTCCTCTAGGCTCTATGAATAGAGCGGTAAGTGGAGGGACAAAAATCTTTGCCCTCAGGGGGCTATTGTGATAAAAGTTTGGATGTGAAAAGTAAAGCAGAAAGAGAGGGAAGGGACTGAATTTATTTTTATTTTTATTTTTTAAAGATTTTATTTACTTGTCAGACAGCGAGAGAGGGAGCACAAGCAGGGGGAGTGGGAGAGGGAGAAGCAGGCTCCCCACTGAGCAGAGAGCCTGAGGCGGGGCTCCATCCCAGGACCCTGGGACCATGACCTGAGCCGAAGGCAGATGCTTAACGACTGAGCCACCCAGGTGCTCCTGGGACTGATTTTTTTTTTCCTGATTTGACCTCAAATACAAGAGTTAATTATAAATATTATCATTGTTTTCCTACAAGGACTATATTCATCTTTGTATTCCCTGTGCCTAGTATACTGTCCAGCATTTAGTAAGTGCTCCCTGGATGTTTGTGAAATGAATAAATGACTTTTCAATTTTAACCCTGAAGGACTGACAAGATGATGGCATTTTGAACAACACAGGAAACATTAGACAGAAGTTGTGTGGTAGGAGGCAGAAAATGAACTATTGCATTTGAAGTGCTTATAAAATTTATGTGGAGATATTCACCTAGCAGCTCCAATTAATGGTCTAGATCTGTGCTATCCAGTCTGGTATCCACTGGCCACATGTGGCCATTCAAATTTAAATGAACCAAAATTACATTGAATTTAAAATTCAATTCTTTAATTGCACTATGGACATTTCAAGTATCACATGTGGCTAGAGGCTGTCCTATTGGACAGAGCAGATCTAGAATATTTCCATCATCATAGAAAATTCTATTGGACAGCATTAGCATACACTCTAGATCTTAGAGATAGATCTAGTTATCAATATATTTGGCCACAAAGTCCTTTCAATTTTTTTTTCCTCAGAAACATTTCTTAAACACAGCAATCCTGATTGAGTATTACTGCCTTAACTAAGACTTCATCTATTTACAGTATGGTAGCTGGTCTCCTACAAACGTTTTCCAGCCTAGAGCATGGAGCATAGACCCTGGCTATACAGAACAGAAACAACATACACAGAACTTCCCATAGCTGATTGTGTCACTTTGCCAAAAGTGACTAAACAAACAAAATCTCTC